TTAACTACAGAGAACAAACTGAGGGTTGCTGGAGGGGAGGTGCATGGAAGATGGGCTAGATGGGTGATGGGCACTAAGGGGGGCACTGGTTGGGATGAGCCCTGGGTGTTGTATGTAAGTGATGAATCACTAAATTCTACTCCTGAAACCAATATTGCACTATATATTAACTAACTAGAATTTAAATAAAAATTTGGAAAAAAAAAAAAAGAATGTTTAACAGGCAGAGATGCGCGTGTGTACTTAGTGGCCCAGCATGGATGTGCTCTGTGGTCCCGGCTTACATGCTGTACATCCTCAAATCTTGGAGATAACGTTTGCTTAATTTGAATTCAATGATGCCTATAATATTAAGTATAACACTGAATAGTTATCTTGCTATAGTAGAAAGTGCATGAGTTCGGAAGTCAGAGGCCTAGGTTCAAATCCCAACAAAGTGACGGAGGACACGTAATGAAGACGTTGCAAAAGTGTAAAGCATCTTCCAAAGGTTAATTTCCGGCACTCAGTATAGTGCCCGGGACACAGGAGGCACCCACAATTGTTCACTGAAAGAATGAACTACGGATTATTACCCTCTCTGGTACCTTCAGACTTTTCTACAGAAAGTGAGCTTCATAGTAATAAAAAAAAGTGTTAATCATTTCTTTCACCACTGATGATCTCAATAGAGTGACTATCTTAAGTATTATAAAATATGGTCGTTATAGGGCAATATATTGAAAATTTAACATATTTTTAGCAGCAGCCCTAATTGGCCATGGAATACTCACTGCCGTTGCTTGTGGGTTGTTGGGGCAGGCCTCCAAGAGCTCCTGTGGAGGGTTTAATGGCTTGAGGTAACGAGTGATAAAGACGGTTTTTCCACTTATGTCAGTCACTGTCGTGAGGCATTGACGATGTGGAAACTTTAAGGCACATTCAGCTTGAAACTTCTCCGTTGCTTGTAGCAATTTCTCGTCTTCCTGAGAATCAAACTTCACAAACAAAGACTCCATGGAGTTTACATATGATTACTGGAGACAACAGTAGGATTTGTTGAGATCTTACAGTTAACAGGAACTACATGTATGCTTCAGGAACTACGATTATGTGACCCCTTACAATAGCGTCATGCCCTGGTGTCCCTAGGGCTTTATTTAATTATATTTATAATCTAAAAATTAGATGGATTCATTAAATACTTGAAATATATTGAACAGGACTGAAAGAAAGTAGTCAACAGGCAAGCAGCCCTACGAAAACTAGAACAGCCTATAAAATGTAAACTGATGTACTAATTCTGATTGATGAGAACAAGCAGTAGCTTTATATGTATTTTGACATTGGTTTTAGAGGGGAGAGGGGCTCAGTAATCTAACGTCTCAAATGCAAAGCTCGAGCAACTCATGTTAAATGCACAACAAATCGACAGATATATACTGATGTGTTAAAAAATGTTAAATCCATAATGAATGTAATACAGAATAGTAATGGGTCTCAGGGAAAAAAAGAAGCAGAACTAGCATCAAGTGTATCATATTTATCTTAAGTGGTTCTCTGATCCAAGATGAGCTACCAATTCCCAGACTTTTAAAGATTTTATTTTTAAGTAATCTCTGCACCCAACGTGGGGCTCAGACTCACAACCCTGAGGTCTGGAGTTGCATACTCCTTAGGCTGAGGCAGCCGGGTGCCCCAATTCCCAGACTTTTAGTAGTAACTTAAAGCAGATGAAACAGAACAAATTCTAGTTGCCTTAGACACATGTTGTAATTTTTCCCCTAAAGCGATTACTAAAAAATAGCTTGCCAAAAGCAGATATTTAAATGTTTTTACAAGATTTCTGTTGCTTAGTATAAAAACATATGCATGGTTGCTTATATTCTGCAGCTTTTCAGGACAAACTCAAATAAAATTTTATTAGGAAAGTTAATTTTTAAGTAGGATTTAGATTCTAGGCAGTGCTTGAAAATCTGTTTGTTTTGAGAATGGAAATGCACCCAGCTATCCTTCTCTTACTCTGCTTTATTATTATTATTATTAGCATTCAAAACCACTGATATGTTTACTCTGTCTCCCCCATAGAATAAGATTCGTGAAGTCAAAGATTTTGTTTCTATCTTATTTTTTTTTAATTTTTTAATGTTTATTTATTACTGAGAGAGAGAGGCAGAGCATGAGCATGGGAGGGCAGAGAGAGAGGGAGACACACAATCTGAAGCAGGCTCCAGGTTCCGAGATGTCTGCACAGAGCCCAACGTGCAGCTCGAACCCACAAACTGCGAGATTGTGACCTGAGCTGAAGTCGGACGCTTAACCGACTAAGCCACCCAGGTGCCCCTCGATCTTTTTTTTTTTTTTTTATCTCCAGTACCAAGGATACTACCTGGCACATAATACCTATAGGAGGCGTGTAACAAATATTTTCGAGTGAATGAATGGGAAGACAACACGTGACTTTTTTCTGACTTGAGATAGAATCCAGGCTATCCTAATTATTCTTGACTTCTGTTACGCTGGAGCTAGACTGTGGCTCCAATTTCTAATTTGATTTCTGTATCCCGAAAAATTGGGGTAGTGGTTGTGGGGGTTAGGTAGGATGTAGGATGGAGACGTTTCCAGATGCCTCCTATATACTCTCACGAGGTGTCCCCGACATCCGAATCCGAACATCTGACACAGATTGATCTGGTACCACCTACCACTGAGCATAGTGGGAGCTGCCCAGTGTATGGTTATGATGGATATATAAACAAATGAAAAAGGCCAGCTTCTGAGACTTTGGCATGGGCGTGTCACAGACTCCTAGGACAGAATTGTCATGCCAGAAATCATTGTAACTTTACAAAGATGAAAAATTACGAAACAAGGGTGGTATGAAACAAAGCACCCAGTGGAATTCAACTCGGTTTCCTTTAAACTCATTCATTTACTTACCCAACTATTTGGAAAATATTTGCTGAGAATCTAAAAGGTTCCAGGCACTGTAGATAAATGAATATGAACCAGTACCCTCAAGCAACTTCTAGTCTAGAGGAATGCATTAATAAGCAATCCGGTACTTAAGATACTTGCCCAGAGATTCTAAATACACAGGTGCTAGAGGAATACTTAAGAGGCCAAATAAGCATTGCCCAGAAAGAGCAACAGAAACCGGGAATCAGTACTGATTATTGGCCTTCCCAGTTTAAAAAACTGTGTCGAAACCTTTTTCTTTTCTTTGAAAAAATTTTTTTAAATGTTTGTTTTTGAGAGAGACAGACAAATAGTGTGAGCGGGGGAGGGGCAGAGAGAGAGGGAGACACAGAATCCGAAGCAGGCTCCAGGCTCTGAGCTGTCAGCACAGGCAGCTGTCAGACGTGGGGCTCGAACCCACGGACCTCGAGATCATGACCTGAGCCAAAGTTGGACGCTTAACCGACAGAGACATCCAGGCGCCCTGAAACTTTTTTCTACCACTTGGAGCTGGACGTGCTGTTGTGTGTTTTGACTATGTAACTAGTGCTTTGTGAGAGCAGGGCCCGTGTTTGAATCATTCTGTGTTCCTCTCTGCACAGAGCATACACGAGGTAAGCATTTAAGTATCTCTTAATGGTCATTTAAAGTTGCTTCGGCCACCAGGATGCCATTTAATGGAGCGAAACAATGCTTTAAGGAGGAGTATGCCATTTTATTAGTGATCTAAGAAGTACCAAGGGAAAGCTCAGTGCCAGAAGAATTTGGGTTGGTTTATTATGAAACAAATCAAGGACTAACTGACAAATTCAGTATTTGATTCAAAATGAAACCTGGAAGTTTCTTGACTGGCTCTATTTTTTTGACCTGTAGGTTCGTGTCAGTGTTTACTGAAACTTAAGCGTGGTTATCCTCTTGAATAGCCACACTGAGACAGCTCCACCCATGACAAATCACCGTCAGGGCTGCAGCCGTCTCGGCAAGAAGCATCTCATGGATTTCATAGGCTTGGAAACTGGAGATAGTGCCCAGCATGGAGGTGACATTCACACCCATGACCCTTCCTACATTCCAGGCTAAATAAGAATCTTTCTGACCAAACGCAACGGGCAGAAAGACAAGGCTGGACATTCTTCACGGAACTTCAGACATCTGTGGTTCGTTGCCAAGGGACCACACATACACTAGCATCCAGCAGCTTCCACAAAGTGGCAGCAGACAAAAAGCAGCTAATTAGAAGCCTTAGAACTACTGACCAACAAATGTAAAACAAAATGCTTGGTATACCTTTTTAAGCATGTCACTCATCTATCAGAGGCAAGAAAGGAGAAAGAAATGAGAGGAAGGCTTTATTAACAAAAAAATCTACTTTTAAAAACTTAACTTTTATCAAGACAATGTAAAGTAGTTACAGTAGGAGTTTGAGGAGTTGCTACCGCATCTTAAGAAAATTCCATGAGTAAATCCCTCTAAGAACTCCTATGGAACGGTTCCCTATGGGATGACGGAGGGGAGACTCCAGTCTCCTAATCCCTGGAAGTTGCTGGCAAGTGGAAAAACAATTCAAGGTTCTGGCCTCTATTATCTTCAGGCGAGAGCTTCTCTTTCCCGAATAATCTGCAGGGGAAATCACTGAGTACTGTTTTCCGCCACTGTGTGTTTAGGACATCAGGGGGCATCAGTCCACATGCCTTCCTTATCAAATAGCAGCAAAGAACCTGTCCTCCAACGGGGATTCTTAAGCCCTCATTTCAGAGGCATAAGAGAAATGCTCCGCACAGCCACAGAGGGGCAGTGAAATGCCACTGAAGGCAGCAGCAGACAGCTTCGTTACCTGGCCGGAGGCGGGAAGGTTTCGGGACTCAGGGAGGGCGTCCTGTCTCGGAGCTCAGAACCGTGATAGGGGGTTAGTGCCCCGAAGGGCGTCAGGTGCTAAGAAGCCTCTGGTTTTCAGCCTCTCAGCTGAAACCACAGCTGAGAACCTCAGCTGAAAGCAGACAGACTGCTTTCCCGGGTTTTGGAAGCTCACCTCCAGATGGGGTGCTTTTTCCTCTGTTAAGAATACATGGAAATAGCAAGATCATCTTTTGTCTGGGAGCATTTTTCTGTGTAAACATGCTTGTTGGCTTTTATCTTGAGTTTACACATAAAGAAAACCATCCAGAATATACGTTTCACTTCCTAGAAATATTTTGAAATGCATATATTCTGGCATGTTTTCTTTCTTTTTTTTAAATTTAATTAAAAAAATTTATATCCAAATCAGTTAGCATCTAGTGCAACAATGATTTCAGGAGTAGATTCCTTAGTGCCCCTTACCCATTTAGCCCATCCCCCTTCCCACAACCCCTCCAGTAACCCTCTGTTTGTTCTCCATATTTATGAGTCTCTTATGCATTGTCCCCCTCCCTGTTTTTATATTATCTTTATTTCCCTTCCCTTATGTTCATCTGTTTTGTCTGTTAAAGTCCTCATATGAGTGAAGTCATATGATATTTGTCTTTCTCTGACTAATTTCGCTTAGCAAAATACCTTCCGGTTCCATCCATGTAGTTGCAAATGGCAAGATTTCATCCTTTTTGATTGCTGAGTAATACTCCATTGTACATATATACCACATCTTTATCCATTCATCCATCGATGGACATTTGGGCTCCTTCCATACTTTGCCTATTGTTGATAGTGCTGCTATAAACATGGGGGTGCATGTGTCCCTTCAAAACAGCACACCTGTACCCCATGGGTAAATACCCAGTAGTGCAATTGCTGGGTGGTAGGGTAGTTCTACTTTTAGTTTTTTGAGGAACCTCCACACTGTTTTCCAGAGTGGCTGTACCAGCTTGCATTCCTATCTGGCATGTTTTCTAGAGACCATATTTGTCACAGCTTTAGTGACAGAGGCTAGCATGTAAGATTAATTTGAATTTCCGTAGATTTATTTTTCCAATAATCGTTGCAAAGGGGAATAGTAATAGTATGTGTCTCTGTGAACCAGACTGTAGTGCTGAAAAAGAAACAGAGGAATGTGCTCATTTCCCCATTCTCCATCTGAGCATTGATTACAACAGATAAACAAAAGAATCATCATGAGAATCCATGCAGGTTAGTTTAGGAGGGAACATGCTGGGCTTACACATGAACGTGAGCTCTGTGGAATTTTTATCTGCTTTTCTAGGCTGCTGTATTCCCAGTACCTGAAAAATGCTTGTCACATCAGCAGTAAATATTTGTTGAATGTATACGATTTTGAGTCAGACAGACATTTAATTGATAAATGCATTTCCTGCCTGGGTGAATTTGGAGGGTTGAGCCTCACTTTCCTCATGTCTCAATCCGAGACCCCACCATACACTACAGTTGTGAGTATTAAGAGAGAATGTGCGTCAACTATCCGACACGGGGCCGAGGACAGAGTAAAAACTCAGTACATGATGGTGGTGGTGGTGGTTATTGTATTATGGTATTAAGAGGTCATGATCAGTAACTTTCTCCCCAAACCAATGAGGACAGTGCACATCAGTGCTGCAGAAGCAAGTTATATTAAGAAAGTGTCTCCCAGCTATGAGGGTTGGTAAATAGTTGCTAACAAATGGAAGTTCTGGAAACTCTTTGTTCTAGAGCCATCCAGAATTAGAATATTTGTGCTCTACAGTATCTGAAGGCACTGAAATGAGGTGACCCCTGAAGGTCGCCTAGCCTTACGATGCTATAAATTGATTCAACACACAGGACAACCAGGGATATGAGGTCAGACGTGGAAATGTATTTCGGCACGCTTGCCAATAAATGTCAAGATAAAAGAGTAGTCTGCTTTTTTTCTTCCTTTAAGAAAATTCTTCTACACCTGGAGCATGTGTTACAGTTGCCTGAAATTTTAAGTTGTTGATCAATCTAATGATCAGCTCAATGGAAACACGAATCCACAATCTCCCCTCATTTTGTCCAGACCGAAAGGGTAGTGAACGGAAACTTTGGCAAGGAGACCTCTGCTTGGGCCATGGCTTCTGCATTTATAAAAGCATAGCAAGCATTCCTCGTGTCTCATGAACATCAGACACGCAATTCTAAAGCAGGGTTACCTTTTCTCGAACCGACTCCCCGGGAACCAGCTGAGGCTCCATGGTGATAAACAGGGTGATGTAGGAGCCTTCACTCAGGCTTCGCACGGAGTCAAAACCCCGCTCGATAATCATGCTCCGTTCCTTACTGTAGCCCAGGAGAACGGGGGGAATGTCTATTTTAAATGTCCCATCGATCTGTGAACAACACATGACTTGGTAAACACCCTGGTGGTTTTCCAACCCAAGTTCAAAGGCAAGTGTCAACTCCTCGCTGTCCGATGAATCTAACAAAGACTGCTCAGACTGGCATTCGAGGCTCACCCCATCCTTCTGGGCATGTCGCCCTGAGCTCTCTCTACATCCCTGCCTCTTCCCAGTTCAGCAGAGCACGTACCAGCTACTCAGGTTGATGTGACAGTATGTCACCTGGGTTCCAATCCTGGATTACACTCCAAGTGTCCCAGCTTGTGCATTTATAGAGACAATAATAGTACCCATTTGTAGGGTGGTTACGTGTGCGGAATGAGCAGATGTAAAATACTAAGAAAAATGCCTGGCGTATGCTCAGTGCCAGTAAGCGTTGGCCAGAAGCTATTCCCTTTTTCTGGAATGCCCCAGCTTTTCATCCCCCCTTTCAGAGTATTAATTCTATTTTCTAGGCTCAGGCCAGATGTTATCTCCTTTGTGAATTATTTTGTAATCACTAGCAGCCTCACATCGAATTTGTTTCTTCTGCTATTACCATGACACATTCTGCAGACCTTATAGTTGTATGCACATCTATCACTTTGTTCCAGATACCAGATTTCTCTCCATGAATAGGATTATAGTTCACCCACGATTCTACCACCCTTTCCCAACGAAGAGCAGCGCTTTGTGTACCCAGCAGGTGCTCGATACATGTGGGCTTAATGCATTACAAGCCACTCACGTAAATTGACCTGGCTTCTGTGGAGGTTCCAAAAGACAGGACTTTTCATTTTGGCCTAGCCAGCCCAACAATAAGTTTATTAAAGACTGTCTAGGGCTACACGACTATTCAGGGCTGGAACTTGAAATTCACCGACTTACGGAGAATCCGGTTTTCATTTCAGTCTTTAGCGGCATTTATGTCTCAGAAGAAATAGAGAAAGAAGTTCAACTTTCAGTGACTATGCCTTCCAGCGAGGAATTAAGTGAGCTGTTGTTTATTTTCCTCCTTATGTCGGTGCCTTCCCCTGAATCCTGCACCCAGGCAGGTGAAGAGAGTACAGGGACAAGGATACAAAAACAAGCCATACAAAGTGCACCTGAAAGAACGGAGCACATCTGATGACCCAGGAAGCAATGGGCACTATCTCCAAATACTTGGTGCAAGGACTTCAGACCGGGTTTCTCAACCTGGGCACAGTTGATATTTGGGGCCTGACTGTCTGTGGGGGGGGGACTGTCCTTGCACCGTGGGGGGTTGGCAGCATCCCTGACCTCCACAGACAAGATGGCAATGGCTCCCCCGCTAGCTGTGACAACCAGTCATGTCTCCAGGTACTGCCAAATGTCCCCTGCAGGTACACGTAAGGGTACGAGCTTTGGAGTCAGAGAAAACTTAAATGACGAATGTAATAACATCACTCTCAGAAGTAACATTGAAATGGATAAACCCAAACATTGAATCGTTCTCTCTCCCTCTACCAATCTCATTCCCCAGGGATAAGCAATGTGAGCATTGTGGGAAGTTGGTAAAAGTGAATCCTGTAAGCTTTGGGATTTGAGTAGTGACTTCACCTCGTGTGGCTTGTTTCGTCATCTGTAAAATGGCGACAGTAAAGCCTACTGGGTTGTTGTGAGATTAAATGAGGTGACATACAGACTAGCAGGTAATGGCATGTAATATGTGACAAGTATAGTTATTCCTACTATTATTAGTGAGTCAGGATTCTACTTGTTATGTGTAGCTCCAAACCAGGACCTACAGATAGGGATGCACAGATTATGGCACAGTTCAGGGAAGAAATCTGTAACAGAGAGCTATGGCAAAGAGAGCAAGTTGCCTCATGAAGTCGTGAGTTCCCCGTTTCTAGGGGCACTCAAACAGAGTATAGATATTACCAGAATGCAGTAAAGGAGATTCATTTATCCAGAAGGGATTTGGAGCAGTTACCTCCGAGTACCCTTCCAGGTGTGAAATTCAGCATTGCCGGATAACATGGCACTTTCGTTTACAAACTGATGCGCTCTTAATTTTTTTGTTTCCATTTAAAATCTATTCAAAGAGGGACACGAAAATGTTTTGGCCAGCACATCACTGAAGCGTCACCCGTAGACTGTCCCTTTGTCTATGGGGAGAACTGCAATTCCAATTATCTTGGAGATTCCAACCCATCCAAGCCCCAGGCTTGCTGGAGACTGTGTGGCCCAGGCGACACTTGCTCTGTGTGGTCGCCACGTGTGGAATTAAACCGTTCCCTCTGTCGCCGTGTGAGATTAGCTACAGTCTTGCGGCTCAAAGCCTCCTGTTGCCATGGGTTTAATACCAGGATATTAAAGCCATTTCAGAATCTTTCCCTGTCCCAGATTGGAGCTACTAAATCATTCAAGAGTTGTTAACCTAATGGGTCCCCTTAAGCAAAATCATTAGACTCTGAAGAAGAGCGTCTCAGCTGAATGAGATTGTGCTAACCATTTTTCATGTTTGAAATAGCGAGGACTCTAGAAACATTAATAGAATGCACTTGATTCAATGGACTATCACTGTCCTGCTTGTTCCCTTCAAGTTCGTTTCTGGCGTCCATCCACTCCACTTTTGTCATTTTGACAAGTTTCCGCTTTGTCCCACCTTCTGCCTCACTTCTATTTAAATGACAGAAAAATCCTCAGATGGGAACAGCCCTACGTTAACTACTGCCTCCAAGGGAGATCGATGTTTAATAAGCCACGCAAATATGACAGAAGATCGGCGGCGTTTTATCTTTCTGACAACGACTTGCATATAGGCTCCCTCAGTGTGGAGGGCACAGACCTGCCAAGAAAGCTGTAACGGGAAAAATGGGCACAGCCATTCCCATGGAATTCTGGCTTTCGGTGCTTACCTTGGCTTGGAAATATATCGTGCTAAACGGAATCTTCACGCATCCCAACCAGTGTCTCTCAATACGGGTGTGGATTCCACTTCCTCTTTCACGGTCATCCTGAAGGAGGGTGGGAGGCAGTAATTGTTTAAGAACTTCAGCCTCACGTTTGAATAACGTGGCCACAGGAAGGTAGCGGGGGTTTAGCTGAAACTACGTGAGCCAGGTTAGGCAGCCCTAAGTCGCATTCTGCTTCAGTCACTTAATCGTTTAGTGACCCTAACGATGTCACTTAGCCCTTCTGAACCTCAGTTTCCCCGTTACTAATTTTTTTTTTTTTTAAAGTAGGCTTCACGCCCAGCACAGAGCCCACTGTGGGGCTTGAACTCAAGACCCCGAGATCAAGAATCGATAACTTAACCGACTGAGCCACCCAGGCGCCCCGCTATATTGGAGATTTAACAGTCTACTTCACAAAGTTATTCTAGAATTGAGACCGTGTATGCTAGGCACCCAGTGCAATTTCTGGAAGGTAGCGGACACTCAGCTGAAAATAAGAAAGCTAGTTCCCTCCCTCCCTTTTCCTTTTCCCATTTATACATGTCAAGTTTCAAACATTTCAAACGCCACAGAGATGGGAAATGAGTTAGGGACTTACAATGAGTGGAGGGCATGGAAATGAGTGCAGACGTCCTCAACACTGTGAACTCACCTCGAGGACATCATAGAGCACTTCATCAAAAATGTTAATGAACACGTCATCTTTCACTGACTGCAAACTGCTTGTGCTGTAGTCTCCACTGGGGGCCCTGCAAATGGGGACACGTGACCCGGGACTATGAACATGGGCAAAACGGAAGCAACGAGCACTCAGATCTCACCGTGTGAAAAATACCCAGATACGAGCATAGACATGAGGATTAAAAGCCGTGACTTCACCTCGAATATTTCTCTTTATCCTGGGATGCGATAACATAATCCCTATACTCGAGTGGAAGGGGCACTAGACTAGAGGCCCGGCGCACAGAGATACCACCCCCTGCCCCCCCATCTGCTGGCTTGTCCCGTCGGGTCTCCCGTCATCCCCCCAACCTGCGTGGTGAGCTCTGCCAGGAGCCAGCTGGCCACAGCTGGGTTGGCTCGGGGGACAGGCTACGTTCAAAGTCTCCGGCTGGCACCCGTGCCGGGATGCAGATTTCCTAAGCAACCGGGCTGTAGAAGATGCTTCTCCGGCAGACCATTCCCCAGTCATAGACCTCCTAGTGTCATATGGCCGGTTGAATGGTCCCTGCCTCCCACTCACTTTCCCCACAGATAACCAAACGCAACGCAGGCACGAGGTTCCTCTCCTGTACTGTCGCTGCTCTGAGTCCGGGCCTGGCCCAAGCTGGCTGCTCTGTGGCACGGCTCAAGACCGGGCCACTGCGCGTATTTTGTCAAGCATTTTGCCTTTGCGTTTTCTCATTCTTTGTGCTTCTCCTATGCATAATAGTGGTGCGTGTCCCTCTCTTCTGACCGAACTGGCTCTAAGCCTTGCTCTGTCTCTATGGTACTTCCACCTGTGGGGTTTGATTGCTGTAAAAGTAGAATGGTAATTTCTTTTTTTTTTTTTT